ATCTTGTCTGAACTCCAGAATCAAAGGGGGGGNTGGTAGAGAGACTAGGTAAGTTAAATGGGTTTCCCTGCACTCCTTGTTCTATTACTTGGGGAGTGCCTTGCACTACATCTCCAACTCTTTCTTCTGCTTCAGGGGTAGTAATGGAAGTACCAGGTTCCTCTGGAGAAGTAGAAGAGGATGTTTGCATTGTCTCTCACCTATCTTCTTCATCTTACTCATCAAATTAGCCTTCCCATTTGAAAACCCAGATATTTCCCAGGGACCAAAAGTGGTTCATTATCTTAATCATCATTGTTTCCTCCTTTTTTAGAGGAGGATGTCTCGTTGAATAGCACATGAACACTTCCTTCCACACAGTGTGCCATTTTGTTATAGACTTTGTGGTCTTTGCTTTGAGGGAAGTATCCCAGAAGGATTCCTTCATCCCTTTTTGCATCAAACTATCCAAGCTGATCCTTCCCGTTGTTGAGAACATAGCATTTTCATCTAAAGGTTATCAGATGAGCCAGCTTAGGTTTCCTTCCAGTCAGCAACTCATGGGGGATTTTGTGTAGGAGAGGTCTGATCATGCACCTCTTTTCACTCGTGCTCAGTATTCCCATAGGAATTGCATGCTCCGTGTTCTTTGAACTTTGAATTTGACAGACCATGGACCAGGTCCTTCTTCATCAATATCTCCAGAAGTGAGAAACTTGTATCCCCCTAATCCTTTATGCCAAGTCTTTGAATCATTATCAGCTGCATTCAAGTAGCTCATACCACCAGCTTAGCCACAAACTTCTACCTTGTTTTCTTCCCCATACCTAGAATGTACCCCTTCTTTCCATTTTCCAAAGGGTACATCCCTTCCTTGCAGGGCTTTCAGTGAGAGAAAATTCATGGTATTTCCAGTTATGTGCTTTGATCATCTACTGTTGATGATCCATTGCAGTCCGCTTCCTCCCACTGTTCCCTGCACATCTAAATTATGGATTAGATTTAGGAACTCAAAATAGTTTGGGTCCCTTGTTATGATAGAAGGGATGAATAAGGGCTTTTCTAGTCCATGCAGGCAATATTGGTTTCTTGCGAGTGGTACCTGGTCCCTTGTTAGTAGTTACTTTGTCAGTAAACACTTTGTTTTTCTAAACAGATTGAGCCCTGGACTGACAATTTTCTTTGAAGTGCCCATTGTTCCCACAGTGGGTACACATCCAGTTATCAGAAACTATGACGTACTTGTTGTGAAGGTTGTAAGGAGTTTTCTCCTTTTGGAACCCGATTCCCTGCCTGTTTCCAATATTGTTAAAGTACATGGCAGTGACAACATCTGAAGACCAGGTCCACTTGAGATATTTCTCAAGATCACTTTTTACTCTCTTCAATTCAGCTTGAAGCTGCCTATTTTTCTCGAGTTCACCACATATCCTAGTTCTAGCAGCTTTCAACTCATTTTCAAGCCTAATGTGTTCCTTACTGGCTATCTCCTTTCCTTTTCCAGATTTTTCAGGTTTTAACTTAGTCCAAGGTTTCACTATTGTTTCCCTTAGGTCTGTAATTTCTACCAAAAGATCATTCTTCTCTTTTCTGGAAATTTCAATGGTTTCCTTATGGTCGATAATTACAGCCACTAAGTCATCTCTGGTTTGTTCAGCTTCTCTTAGTTCTAAGATCATGGAATCCCTATCCTCCACAATACTATGATAGGCATCGATCAATACACTAGCTAAAGACATGAGTTTCTTAGGAGAGTAGGATTTCAGATTTCTCTAAACATACCTGAAATTTACCTCCTTGTTGTCATCGTCTTTATCATCATCTGGTTGTGCCATCAAAGCAGAAGTTGAGTCATATTCATTTTCCTCGCCTTCACTTGCCATCATGGAGCTATCACCAACATCAATTTCATCTTCAGACTCTCCAAATGCAAGAGCCTATTTCACCACGTTACAAGCATGTCTCTTTTTATTGAAGTCCTTGAAGGGCATTAGGTTCCTCTTAGCTATTTTTTCAGACTTATTCTTAGAGAACTCTTGCTTCAAGAGAGGACAGTCTTTGATGAAGTGTCCAGGCTTTTCACACTTAGGACAGAGATCATAGTTTTTTCGTTTGCTGGAGTTGCCCCTTTTTAGCATTTCTCCATTTCTTCCGACCATCTTCTGAATTCTATTGGTTAGGTAAGCCATGTCACTGTCTTCCTCACTTGAGTCCTTTCTATCAGCTTTGAGCATCAGGTTCTTGTCATTTAAGATGGAAGTTCTTCCAGTACCTTTTTCAAGATTTGGTGGAGCACCCATAAGGATCCTTTCTAGGTGTTAACCTTTTAGAAATAACCTGCTCGGATACCAATTGTTAGAAAATGTGCGTCCACCAGACTGTATAGAGAAATGGTTCTCTATCTGTTTCCTCTGAAAATACTGATGAACCAAACTGTATAGCGATATGGTCCTATATCAGTTTGATACAGTGCTAAGTTTGTGTGAGTCCACCAAACAGTAGAGTACCTGGTCCTTTATATGGTTCTACTGTGAATGCTAGTAAAGCTGTATGTAAATAAGGCAGAGGATTTTTGACGTGGAAAAATCCCACACAAGGGGATCAAAAACCACGACCTACACTTGTAGGCTTTTAACTTCACTAACTTGCAATCTCCCTATTACAAGCCACTTTACAATAACCCTATTGCAAAGACTTCAACTAACTTGTGATGCTCTCATCACAAGCCACTCTATAACTATCCTAGTTACAAAGAATTTGACTAACTTATGGTATTTCCACCACAAGCCACTTTGTCACACTACGGTTACAAAGGCTTTGACTAACTTGTGATGTTTTCACCAAGAGCCACTTTGTCACACTACGGTTACAAAGGCAGTGCGGCAAAATCTTCATTTCCAGCTGTGTCCAATTGAATTTGTACTGTCGTGAGGAACCCATAAGAGTATCAGGTCCTTGTTTGGGCTCCTACCTCTTGAAGCTGTAGTAAGTTTACATTTGGCTGGAATCCGTTAGATGCAATGTAATCCAAGTGAGTCAGGTTCCCTATCTGGTTCTTAACATTGAGTTTGTTAGATCATCAAAACACAAGGCAAAGATATTAAAAACTATCAATCATAAAGTTAAAAATATCATGTTATAGTTTTGAAAATATTAGACACACTCTAGCAGATGAATATTTTTTCCTCAATAACAAATCAATATTTTTGCTATTTTTCAAGAAGATCAATATTTTTTCAAGAAAATATCATGCTATATTTTCCTCAATAACAGATCAATATTTTTGCTCCTCACAATTCTATCCTGCAGCAGTACTCTGTTAAGTGTATTTGATTTCACCTCCAAAACAGTAGTATTGACATGCACTTGCTCTCCATATTTACTTTTAGGTGCACACTTTATATGTCAACTGAGTGAAATATATTCAGAGATATACTGGAAGTCACACATGAAGAAATACCAAGTTAAATTGGTAATGACTGTCCATAGACATGGGAAGAGAAAAAAGAGATTAAGTGGTAAGAAAGAGAAACAGAATTTACCCTCTATTATCAGTTGCTGGAGTATCATTTTGCAAAAATGCATGTGTACTATTATATCTTGCCTGTGTTGAATTCCAAACTATATGCTCCTGTAAACTGCTGACAGCTGGAATATGTTTTGCCTTAAAACCACCCTACAAAGCCAGGCTAATTTAAAACAGAAACAACACCCCAGAAAGCCTGACTAAATTAGAACAGAAACAACATAATGGCAAGTCGAAAAATAAAAACAATACTGCTTTATGGAACTTAATTTACTTACTGTTCAAAATCTTACATCTAAGAACAAGTCTAAGAGATTTAGCCCCTGCACAGTGCTATTTTATTTTTGTGTAAGGATCTTTACCTTTTGTATACCTCTTACCAGGGTTTTTCCCTATACATCAATCAAACCATACTTATCAAAAACTATCATAGCAGAAAATGAACTTAAAAACACCAGAAATGTGCCTCAGGAAACTTCATTCCCGTGTTATCCAACATTACATTTTGGCATAACAGTCTCTGCATAATGCAGACTATAAATTGCACTATACTTGTGAAATATTGCAGGACAAATTTGACAGTGATGACATAAATGATCAATGAGATCATGTCTTGAAAAATATGAGAAAGTTATGGAACAATTGGAGAGGATCGATGCACAAAAATATTAAGTCTAAGCCATTCCTTTATGCTCTAAAAGATGTGCCAAAAGGGGTAGACAAGAGTGATTAGAAATGGCTGGTCAAGGAGCATTTTTTTACTAAAAAATTTAAGGTATGATTTCATAGCTATTTATTAACATCGTGTTAGAGATAGCTATGTAATTGTCCCACATTGGAATAAGAGTAGTATCCCCTTTGTATAGAGTAGCTATAAATAGCACCTCTTGTATTGCATCACATACAATATCAATATATCATATTTTCTCCAGTGCCTTCTCACATGGTATCAGAGCTATTGTGAGAGATTTATCGCTGTGCATAAATTCCAGCGATTCCGGAAAGTAAAATCAGTCACCGGAACCCTTTTTTTTCGGCGACTTTCAAAGTTGTTTTGCGTCTGTTTTGTCTCGGTCAGTGTTGTGCACAAAATCCAATACTACCACAAGAGTAGTCACTTTCCGGCGACCAAATCCCAGTGAAAATCTCCGGCGTTACTGTAGCTGTCCAAAGAAAATTTTCCGGCAAAGTTCCAACGTTGCGTGGGCCACCTTCCGACCATTTTTTGGCGACGACTCTTCAGTACAGATTGTTTCCCTTGCAATTTCGAACCTACCCATCCAGGTTACACCAAATTCCGACCACTTTTTTATTTTTTTAGCGTGAATAGTGATTTCAAAAAGTTGACTTCCGGCCATTTTTTGAAATAGTTCCTTCAGAACAGTTGGGTCTTCTGGTAATTTCGATCCTACCCCTACTGTTTTTATTTCATTCCGACCACTTTGAATATTTTCCGGCTACAACAGTAACTTTCCAACTGCTACAGTAGTTACTATTCTGGTTCAGTGTTCCTTACTCTATTTTCAGTGGATTACAGTTGATTATTTCTCTTATTTGGTAATAATTTACAAGATGTCTTTGGGAATTGATGTTTTTGGGTCTAAAAGTATGAGTTCTGGAAACTCTAATGTTATGATTACCTCGGAACCTTTAATGGGAGGTTCAAACTACTTAGCTTGGGATTCATCTGTCGAGTTGTGGTGTAAAGGTCAAGGTGTGTTGATTAAACAGTCTAGCGAAGGAGATGAAAAGGCGATAGCGCTTTGGGCAAAAATTGATGCTCNACAACAGTAACTTTCCAACTGCTACAGTAGTTTACTATTCTGGTTCAGTATTCCTTACTCTATTTTCAGTGGATTACAGTTGATTATTTCTCTTATTTGGTAATAATTTACAAGATATCTTTGGGAATTGATGTTTTTGGGTCTAAAAGCATGAGTTTTGGAAACTCTAATGTTATGATTACCTCGGAACCTTTAATAGGAGGTTCAAACTACTTAGCTTGGGCTTTATCTGTCGAGTTGTGGTGTAAAGGTCAAGGTGTGCAAGATCATCTGATTAAACAGTCTAGCGAAGGAGATGAAAAGGCGATAGCGCTTTGGGCAAAAATTGATGCTCAATTATGTAGCATCTTGTGGCGTTCTATTGATTCTAAGTTGATGCCTTTGTTTCGGCCATTCCAGACATGTTATTTGGTTTGGGCAAAGGCTCGTACGTTATACACTAATGATATATCTCGCTTCTATGATGTGATATCACGGATGACAAACTTAAAGAAGCAAGAATTAGATATGTCTACTTACTTGGGTCAGGTACAGGCAGTCATGGAGGAATTTGAGACATTGATGCCAGTTTCTGCTAGTGTGTCAAAACAACAAGAGCAGCGACAGAAAATGTTTCTAGTTCTTACACTCGCTGGACTTCCTCATGATCTTGATTCAGTACGAGACCAGATTTTGGCGAGTCCGACTGTCCCTACAGTTGATGAATTATTCTCTCGATTACTTCGCCTTGCTGCAGCACCAAGTCACCCAGTGATTTCATCACAGATACTTGATTCCTCTGTTCTTGCATCCCAGACAGTGGATGTTCGGGCATCTCAAGCTATGGAGAATAGACGAGGAGGCGGTCGTTTTGGGAGATCTAGACCCAAGTGTTCTTATTGTCACAAACTTGGACACACTCGCGAAATGTGTTATTCCTTAAATGGCCGTCCACCCAAAAATGCCTACGTTGCTCAGAGCGAGACTACAGGTAACCAGGGCTTTTCTGTATCTAAAGAAGAATATAATGAGCTCCTTCAGTATCGAGCAAGTAAGCAAACATCTCCACAAGTAGCCTCAGTTGCCCAGACTGACACTCCTATTGCTGGTAATTCTTTTGCTTGTGTTTCCCAGTCTAGTACTCTTGGACCATGGGTCATGGACTCAGGCGCTTCTGATCATATCTCTGGTAATAAATCACTTTTGTCGAATATTGTATATTCACAGTCTCTTCCTACTGTTACTTTAGCCAATGGATGTCAAACTAAGGCACAAGGAGTTGGACAAGCCAACCCATTGTCTTCTATCACCCTAGATTCCGTTCTTTATGTTCCTGGTTGTCCTTTTAGTCTTGCATCTGTTAGTCGTTTGACTCGTGCCCTCAATTGTGGTATATATTTTATTGATGATTCTTTTATTATGCAGGACCGCAGTACGAGACGGACAATTGGTACAGGTCGTGAATCAGAAGGTCTTTACTAGCTTAACTCACTCAGTCCTTCCACAACATGTCTAGTTACAAATCCTCCAGATCTAATCCACAGACGTTTAGGACATCCGAGTTTATCCAAACTTCAAAAGATGGTGCCTAGTTTATCCAGTTTGTCTAGATTAGATTGTGAGTCGTGTCAGCTTGGGAAACATACCCGAGCTTCCTTTACGCGTAGTGTTGAGAGTCATGCAGAGTCTGTTTTCTCCTTGGTTCATTCTGATATATGGGGTCCTAGTAGAGTCAGTTCAACCTTGGGATTTCGTTATTTTGTTAGCTTTATTGATGATTACTCAAGATGTACTTGGCTTTTCTTAATGAAAGATCGTTCTGAGTTATTCTCTATATTCCAGAGTTTTTGTGCTGAAATCAAAAACCAATTTGGTGTCTCTATCCGCATTTTTCGCAGTGATAATGCCTTAGAATATGTATCTTCTCAGTTTCAGCAGTTTATGTCTTCTCATGGAATTATTCATCAGACATCTTGTCCTTATACCCCTCAGCAAAATGGGGTTGCAGAAAGAAATAATAGGCACCTTATTGAGACTGCTCACACACTTCTAATTGAGTCTCGTGTTCCGCTGCGTTTTTGTTGCAATGCAGTTCTCACAGCTTGTTATTTGATTAATAGGATGCCTTCATCTCCCATCAAGGGTCAGATTCCACATTCAATATTGTTTCCCCAGTCAGCCTTATACCCTTTTCCACCTCAGGTTTTGGGAGCACGTGTTTTGTTCATAACTTAGCCCCGGAGAAAGATAAGTTAGCTCCTCGTGCTCTCAAGTGTGTCTTCCTTGGTTATTCTCGTGTTCAGAAGGGATATCGTTGTTATTCCCCTGATCTTCATAGGTACCTTATGTCAGCTGACGTCACATTTTTCGAGTCTAAACCTTTCTTCACAACTGATGTCACTTATGCTGACCACCATGACATATCTGAGGTCTTACCTATACCGACTTTTGAGGAGTTTAGTAACCCTCCTCCACCTTCAACCACAGAGGTTTCACCCATACCAACTTTTGAGGAGTCCAGTGTTATTCCTCCTAGTTCCCCAGCCACAGGAACACCACTCTTGACTTATCATCGTCGTTCGCGCCCTACATCAGGCCCATCTGGTTCTCGTCCTGCACCTGACACGGCTCCTACCGCGGATCCTGCTCCTAGTACACCGATTGCACTTCGAAAAGGTATACGGACCACACTAAACCCTAATCCTCATTATGTTGGTTTGAGTTATCATCGTCTGTCATCTCCCCATTATGCTTTTATATCTTCATTGTCCTCGGTTTCCATCCCTAAGTTTACAGGTGAAGCATTGTCTCATCCAGGATGGCGACAGGCTATGAGTGACGAGATGTCTGCTTTACATACAAGTGGTACATGGGAGCTTGTTCCTCTTCCTTCAGGTAAATCTACCGTTGGTTGTCGTTGGGTTTATACAGTCAAAGTTGGTCCCGATGGCCAGATTGATCGACTTAAGGCACGTCTTGTTGCCAAAGGTTTTGCACAAGTGGGTAAATCTTCTCTTGCTTAGTTGTGTTAAATTTCAAGATTCATACTTTGGTAATGCTTGTTGGTTCAATGGTAGTTTTGAAATTCTAATAAGAGTTAAAAGAAAGAGCATTTTGTAGAGTCATCCCATGCAGTTCTATGTTTTTTGGATTTGTTGGTATCAAAACGACATCCCCAAAACAAGCCAGATTCACGTAAATCTCTATTAATTGTAGTTGTTTGCGTGCAACTAGGAAACATTATTGGATACACATTCTGTATCTAGAATTGGCTTCATACGACCTATAAATTATCATTGCAACTCCTTGCTATTATATGATCCCGGAACAATAATTTTCATCAGAGGGATGCTATTGTCCTATTTAGACTGTAGCACCTGTTACGGTTTCTTTGTTTTTGTATGCTATTTTGGGAACTCCTCTTTGTTCTTAATTACCTACTGAACTTTATTGTGGTTTCTAGAGGGGCTATACTGCTCTTATTTTTGGTATTGGCTTCTTGCCCCAATATTTCTAATGCATGGTCATTACCTCTTTATTCTGATAGTTTGTATAAAATTTTCACCTTGCAAATAAGTTGTTTAATATTCTTTCAAGCTTTACATTGAATGGGGATAATCTGATTGAAACGTAATATTAGCTGGACTTATCTTTACATTACACATAAAATATACGATCACAAAGTTTATATCATAGATACATACTGCGACACTATCACCAACATAATTTCTTAATAACTGGAATTGTTTTGCAGTTCTTTTGAAGTATTTTCTTCCACATTGTTTTTTTATTTTGACAAGGAATAGACTCGTAACATATTTGACGAAATAAGAATGAGAAAAATATTGAAGATTGTTTTTGAGAAATCTAGTAACATGTGACCCATTGCCGATGTTAGCCTACTTAGTGAAAAGCCCGGATACTTCAAAAATTTACCATTTTCGTTCACCCAAAAGTTTATATTTTTAGTCTAAATTAACTTAATATATGCCTTTTTGTTATCTCTCACAAACAGATTTGTTGCTACTTTTGTTGTTTGGCAGGGCATTAAATTCAGTGAAATAGAGGTCTCAGTTTATTGATTTGTTAATTTTTTGTCGTCTTCTCTCTGGCAATGACAAATGAACATGACATGAACAGTTAACTGTTACTAGTATAATCTTCTTTAGTTGTTTATTCTTTGTTACTAAACTAACATAAATTTTTTATTTTAACATATCAAAAATTTGAAGTCCAAAGAATCTATTCTTGAAGAAAGTGTAGAGCAAGTTGAAATATATATATATAAGAGGTTTTTGGTTTGTCAGGGATTCCTTATGACATTGTCTTGTGTACATATATATGTTGCAATTTTACTTTTTCCCTTTTTAGAAATTGTTAAAAATGATGTTTTACAATTTGATTGGTTTCTGATAAATATGATACTTTAGTTCTTTATATTAACAAGATATCAAGTATTTGGTTTATTTTTCTATATTGTTGAGTGTGATGAAAGCATATAAAGAATTATTACTATTCATATGATTTGAATTTTCGTAATTATATTGATTACATTTTCATATTAGCGAAGAAAAATGTGGTCATTAAAACTCTTTAACAACAGGTTTAACTCAAGCAGATAAGTGACAATTAACGAAGGAAATTTTCGATGTTAAAAGTAATTATACAATCAACGAAGGAAATATCGGTCGCTAAAAGCACTTCAATTGACTTAATTAGTTATTGTCATTAGAGATTTTTAACGACCGGACAACAATTTAGCGAGGGAGAATCCTGTCGCTAAAAGCATGTATAACGACCGAAAATAATGTCGTCGCTAAAGGATATTTAACGACCGGATTGTAAAACCTGTTGTTAACTTTTAACGTCGGAGCTTTTAATGACCGGCGGCGACTGAATTTTTTCCGGTCGTTATCAACTTATAACGACTGGAATTGGACTTTTAGCGGCCAAATTTCCCCTTGCTAAAAGCCTATTTTCTTGTAGTGGAAGCATTTGACATGTTTACTTCTTTTGTTAGAAAAACTTAGAAATAACTAGGAAATCAACTTGCATCAATTAGGTCTGATCATGGAAGTGAATTTGAAAATGCTAAGTTTGCTGAATTTTGTGATGTGCATGGCATAAATCATAATTTTTCTTCTCCTAGGACTCTACAACAAAATAGAGTAGTTTAAAGAAAGAATATGATACTTTAAGATATGGCTAGGACTATGCTTCTTTCTAGTAAATTGCCTTATAGCTTCTGGGCAGGAGCTGTAAATACTTCATGCTATATCATCAATAGGTGCATGACTAGACCTCTTATAGAGAAGACTCCCTATGAGTTATTTAAAGGGAGAAAACCAAACATATCACATCTTAGGGCATTTGGATGCAAGTGCTTTGTGCACAACAATGGTAAAGACTCCCTAGGTAAGTTTGATCCCAGAAGTGATGAGGGAGTATTCTTGGGATATTTTTCACATAGTAAAGCTTATAAGGTATACAACAAAAGAACTATGTATGTAGAAGAAAGTATACATGTGGTTTTTAAGTAAACTAACATTCTTTCTGAGAGACAGGAACATGAAGATGAAGCATTTGGGCTAGTAGGAAATTTAAATGAAATCACAGCCTAGACTGAAGCTGCACCAGAAGAAGGAACATGTGATGGAACATGTTCTTCTATTTAGGGCAACCTGACATGGGGAACTGAACAAAGAGGAACTGAATCTCATACCTCGATGGAACTTGTCCATGAACTTGTTCCTCGGCAATAAAACATTGGAGAAATATCAAGAGGAAACCAGTTGGTTGTGAAATCTTACAAGTACCAAAGTTCTCATCCCATTGAGAACATAATTACTGATCCAACCTCTGGAATTAAAACCAGATCTTCATTAAAGAATCTTTATGCTTTTGATGCTTTCTTATCTCTTATTGAACCTAAAAATGTTATTGAGGCTTTACAGGATGCAGACTAGGTAAATACAATGCAAGATGAACTCAATCAATTTGAAAGGAGTCAAGTTTGGCATCTGGTTCTAATACCTAAGGACAGATCAGTAATTGGCACAAATGGGTCTTCAGAAACAAACTTGACGAAGATGGAACTGTTACAAGGAACAAGGCAAGATTAGTGGTTCAAGGATATAGCGAAGAGGGGGCATAAACTATGATGAGACCTTTGCTCCAGTTGCAAGGTTGGAAGTAATAAGACTCCTCATAGCCTTTGCTGCTTAAATAAAATTTACTCTTCACCATATGGATGTCAAGAGTGTCTTCCTCAATGGCTATTTAAAGGAATAAGTGTTTGTCAAGCAACCTCCAGGGTTTGAAAGCAAGGAGCGTCCGAATCATGTGTACAAACTTGATAAAACACTCTATGGGCTCAAGTAGGCTCCTAGAGTATGGTATGAAAGATTATCAAAATTCCTGCTTGAGCATGGCTACAAGAGAGGTAAAATCGATAACACTTTATTACCTTCTAGTAGTACAGATATATCTTGATGACATAATCTTTGGAGCAACTACTGATAAACTAAGTAACGAATTTGCTAAACTATTGGGGAGTGAATTTGAAATGAGTATGAGGGATGAGCTTAATTTCTTTTTAGGCTTGCAAATTAAACAAAACTCAAATAGAACTATGATCCATCAACAGAAATATGTGAAAGAGTTGCTTAAAAGGTTTAAA